ATAGTAATATAAAGTAAGATTGAGGGATGAGGATAGAGTGGTAGCTGCAAAGAGTGGGTGGGGAGGTGGTGAGATAGATGTCACAGTGATTGAATAGCAAAATGGTTGAGAAGATGACCTCTGACTAGTTGTTTCTCTGTGCCATGAATGGTCCATCTCATTGAAGATGGTTGGTGAAACTTGTTGAAATGTACCAAGTCAATGATTAGATGCTGGAAATTAGCATAAACACTATGACAGTAGAGGCAAGCATGGGTACCTCCTACAAGGCCTCATCGTCGCCCCAACCAAGTTGTAAGAACGAAGTCAAGCCAACTCTATAGAGCTAAGTGAGACTACGATTAAAGCGAAAGCAAAACCAACTTGGCCATCATATCTAATATGGAACCAAACTAAGACGCAAATAAAAAAACTGTCTGAAAGATTGAAGAATGCATAACCGGGAACCATTAGACCAGGATTGTGGATCATTAATAAGAAAGCTAAGAATTTAAGGCAAAATAAAAAATATGATAAAACTATGGCTACAATCTTGTGAAGTTAAATGCAGTGTGACTAAGAAGAAAAAGAGATGTGACCTGAATTAGTTTAGAAGCCTTCTCAAAGTCCTGTCGTAGCTCTTTAGATGAACCCACACGCTCAAGAACACGTGCCGCCCTGTCAAGTAGGTTAGCTGAGTAGGAACGACCATCATTGACGACTGCCCATCGAAAAGCAGAGTCAGATGTGCGCACATCATCATCGTGGAAGGGTCTGGAAGAAGTCGAGTTATCCGCAAATCTGTCGGCTAATAGATAAGAGAAGCAAATAAAAATAAAAAACAATTTAATCCCTCAAAAAGTAATTATGTTACCCATAGGTAATCGAATACCCAGCAGAGGCAATAAGAAAAAATGCTTGAAATTATTTAATCAAATTTAAATTAAGGCTCTTAAGTGAGGGCCAGAACCGTAATGTGGTGTTTAAACCATTCGCTATTAGCATTTTCTTGCTCACATAATTCCGGATAAAAATGTCCTTAAAATGGTAGAAGGGGAGTGTAGACAGAAACTTAAAAATGATCCGACTCCCTTTTAATAATTAATACCCTCGGAGATGTTCTGAGACCGATAATAAATTAAAAATGCTTTAGATGATGTTGAAGATGTAATAGAAGTCCATATGGTCCGTGATAAAAAAGAATGAGCATAGGCATCAATAAATAAATTCCAATCAATTGCTAGCTGTATGACAAATAAATCCAACTGGATTACATTTTTGCGAGGAATAATAGTAATTTAATCTATCAAGTCAATGATGCAATGGTTGAAAT